ATTAATTAAGATAATTAATTAAATCTTATTAAAATTATTTAAAATCATAAATCATAATTAATTTATAATTAATTATAACTCATTGATATTAATTAATTTTAATAAATCATAATTAATCAATAATAATTAATAATAATTATATTTTATAAATTATAATAAATTAAAATTAATTTTAATCAAATTTAATTATAATTAATTAAATTAATTATAATTATCTTGATTAAAATCAATTTGTAATTAATTATAAAAAAAAACATGATTAATTAAAAATAATAATTCTAACTAATTATAATTAAAATTACATAATTATAATTAAGTATAATTATTTTATTTATAATAATTTTTTTATTTACCTCCCTCGGTTCGACGGATTTATGGGATTTGGCCGTCGAAGCATGCGCAAGGGAGATAGTTACCTTCACAGCGAGCCGCTCCTGTTGTTGCTTGAGATCAAAATGTCGTAACTTCCAGGCCGCAGGAAGGGAAAGTCGTTCGAAGAGCAAAGTCGGACCAGCCACGAAGGAGATGGGGAAGCGGCGAGCTCCCGTTGTTGATCCCGATCAAAATGTCATGTATTCCGATCCGATAGCAAGGGAATGACGTCGAAGGAGCGATGTCGTCTAGCCTCGAGGGAGCCGGAGAAGAAGCACGAAAGGGAGGAAGTTACTTCTACAGTCGCCGAGCTCCCGTTCTTGCACCCGATCAAAATGTCCTAACTTCCGATCCGTCTGGAAGAAGAGAGCCAGAGCAAGAGAGATGAAGTCGGAGGCTGTGAGGAGTTGGATCGGAAGAGGACTATGCGTGTTTGATCGAGTGGAGAAGTCTCCCTTTCGCTTTATAGACGGGAAGATGGAGTGCGATCGAGGACTCGTCGCAAGATTTGCGCAGGAAACACGGAGAATCGACTGGAGCGGCGCCGAATTGGTACATATCCAGGATTTCTTGCAAGATTTCGGGCGTCTTTTCGACGTATACGAGGTACGCTGATTTTTTTTTTTTTGTTATTACATGGAGGTCAACAAAATCATATCCTTAATTAAGAGGATATATTCTACCATAATCTCCTTATATAGTTAAACATTTATCTATCACCTCCCAAGTACTCTACTAGTAACTACATGAATGGGATGCACATTTAAATTGGTACCATTTGTGCTGCTTATGGGGGAAAAGGTATATTTTAAATTGAGCAAGTCAATACCCAGCTCTGTTTATCCTTCATGCGGCTTTTCATCTTGAGCATACTTAAAAAAAAGTTTTTTACCCATATATTAGGTATTAGCAAACAAATAATCATCTAAAAATAGGGTATGGGTGAAGTTTCTTATAATTTGGATGGAATAGTTTTTTTAAGGGTGTAAGAGCTTAGTTTTGTTTGAAATGCCTTGTATGTGGACGACGTTCTTTATTTTTTATTTTGCGGAAGATTTAGATTTGCATGTACAATAAGAATCAAACATAATTAATTATCTTAAAAAATGCTACATAAGCTAATACATAACCTGCTGACTGGGCACCATTTCAAATGTGAATGTATTTGAGGAAAAAATCATATTCCATTTCATATTTCTTTTTGGTTGCCCGAATGGAAAACTTTTATGCGACGTGCTTTTGTTTTTTGTGTTTTATTTAATCATCGTCTTTCTACCTTGCATGCATAATGTCACCAACATTTTGAAGTTTTATAAGTACTAAAAGTTGAAAATGTTGAATAGAAGTACTCTCATACTCTAAATATGCTGTTAAGTCCTCGTTAAAAATGATGAAGTCACTTTGATACACTTCATAGTTTTCTGTGTCTTCTACTTTGCTTGGTTATCTCACAGTTTTGAGCATAAGCACACACAGGGTTGTGCGCACCCATGGTGATATGTATTGATATGCTTGCATGCAGACATGGTGATTTGCTTTTTCGTTTAAAAGTGAGATAGGCAGAAAACTTATTGATTGGCTGACTAAGACATTAAAATGCATTTATCTTCTAGTCTTTTGAATGATACTTCGGCTAGCTGCCAGAAAGAAGTATGAGTCCTCATAACATCTGCATATTCTTCTTGGTTAATCATTTTTTTAATCTCTAATGTTATTTCCTTCATGTTTGTTTTATCTTGCTGCAGCAGTTTGGCATATCTTAATGTCTTCTGTTAGAAACCAATGTCTTGCTTGATTCAGGTAAAAGGAGAAGCTGCTGTATTAGGCTTTGTTGGGGCTCCTTTCACTTTGGCTTCTTATGTTGTAGAAGGCGGTTCATCTAAGCATTTCTCAAAAATAAAGAACTTGGCTTTCTCTCAACCCAAGGTAACTTTCTGCTTATCTTTATCAGCAATTTGTTAGTTTGAAGTTGCCCTCAATACATTGTTGTATTTTTTTGTGCTTAACAAAGGCTGCTCCCTGTCTGTCTGGAGTAAACTAGGAGCCGGCCCTTATTTGGGGCCGGCTAGACTAGTTCATCTTGGATTGGTCTATCAATACTCCCCTCCCAAGGAACCACATTGTCCTCAAGGTGGAAGGACAGAAACTGGTGTTTCATCCGCTCATACGGCTCCCAAGTAGCGTCGTATTCCAGTTGGTTTTTCCACTTAATCAACACTTCCTTAGTTACTCCTTCCCCTTATCGTACTCCTACAAACTCCACTAGTTACTGAACCACCTCTAAGTATCTGTCTGTGTCACTGGTTGCTTTGCAATTGAGGTGTGCTCCCCTATTGCTCTCCTAAACTGTTATACGTGAAAGACCGGATGTATGGCCACAGTCGGCAGTAGCTTCAATCGATATGTCACTGCTCCGATCATATCCACTATCTCAAAAGGGCCAAAGTATTGTGGAGCTAGCTTCTCATTCCTCCTACTAGCCACAGTCCGCTGCCTTTAGGGACGAAGCTTCAAATACACCTTATCCTCTACCTCAAACTAAATGCTTTCAGATGCTCATCAGCTTGCCTTTTCATAATCTGTTCGGCTCTCAATAAATATCTTTTCAGTTCGTCTAATATCTTGTCCCGCTCTTCCAGGTATTGCTCCACTGAAAAGACTGACGTGCTACCCTGCCCAATGTGCACCAAGTGAGGCGGATCCCTTCATACAATACTTTGAAAAGAATCATCTAGGACGCCTAATGGTACAAAGTTTTGTACCAATATTCTGCCCACGCCAACCACTTAGTCACATTCGAGGTGTCTCTGAAGCAAAACAATCTGAACAACTCCCTCCAAAAGTGACTGAGGAACACCTTGTCTCGATCAAACACTATAGAATTTAATATCCCGTGTAATATGATCGCCTCTCCAATAAAAATTGATGCCACTGTTACTGTTTTGTAAGGATGTCGTAGAGGGATGAAATAAGCATATTTGCTCAGCCTGTTCACTACCACTAGAATAACTGTGAACCCATCAGATCGTGGTAGCTCGTTTATGAAATCCATGAAAATCTCATCCCATACTCTGCCTGGGAGTGCCAATGGTTGTAATTGCCCTCATGGAGCCATTGTCGTATTCTTGTTCCGCTGACACACCTCACACCTGGCCACCATCTCCTTGACATCATTGTGCATCCCTTCCAATATAATTTAATAGCCAGTCTTCTGTACGCTCGAATGGCCCCCAGCATCTCTCCCGTGGAACTCCTGCAATAAGTGCGGGATATGAATTGAGGTTTGTGGATCGCCTGATATAGAAGTCTCTCCCTTTCTACTAAATAGCCCGGATGACTACTCTCATCTTTCAACAAGTCCTCTCTAATCTTTCTCAACTTCTGATCCTGCGCACTCTGTTCCTTAATGGCCCCCCAATCCAACATAAGCGGAATCTAAATGACTATCTCCTGGAGTTCCCCCACTCATCTAGATAAGGCATCAACTACCTTATTTTCCAGCACTAGTCTATATTGTATCTCAAAACCATATCCCAACAACTTTGATAGCACCTCTGATACTCCTCGGTCATCATCCTTTGCTCTAGTAAGTACTTCAAACTCATCTGGTCTGTCCTGACAATGAAATGTCGACCCAACAAGTGAGCCACACTTCTGAATAGCCAATAAATGGTCATCAATTCCCTCTCATAAACGGACTTCAGCCTAGCTATGACCGTTAATACCTCGCTAAAGTAGGCTATGGGTCATTCCAACCCATACCCTGAGGCATCAGTCTCCACCACAAACATCTGGCTAAAATCAGGTAATGCTAGGATGAAAACTGCAGTCATGAATGTCTTTAATGTCTCTGTAAAAACCCCAAAAAATGCTGAATCGTACCATAACGACACGTTGCGGCGCACCGCGACGAAAATAGTCAAAGTTTCAAAGTTGTCGGATTTCGACGAAATAAATTTTATAAATTTCTACGTTTAAATTCGTTCGTTTTGATATAAAGAACGTAGGTTAATTTGATAGGAAGTACTTGTAGATGTCAAGTATTTCCTATCAATCTTCGAAAATAACGAGCTTTATCTACCAAAATTCACACAAAACCACAAAAAATAGTAGATAATTTGTATTATTTGATGAAAGGAAAACGATAGCAAGATACAATTGATCCTCTATTCGAAAGGAGGATCGATCTCTCCAAAATCTCTAGACGCCGTTAGAGCCCAAAAGAAAACCTAAATCTAAGAGATATCAAATTTCAGCCAAATTCTAGATGCCTTAACCCTAGGAAACTAAAGTATTTAATGCATACAAATTAAAAGGAAACCCCTAAACAGTCCCTACATTCAAATTTCCCTCACAAATCCCTCAAAAATCCCTCCTAAATCAGCTAGTTGGTGCTTGTAGTGCGGTCGGCTACTAAAAGAGGCGGACGCTCAGCCTCGGTTCCACCTAGGCCGGTCCCGTGTGTACCGGCTGGACCGGTCCAATGGACCAGTCTAACAATACTCCTCTCCCAAAGATCCACCTTGTCTGCAAGGTAGAAAGACAATACCCTCAATTCCTTCTTCATCACAAACGGTAAGAACCTGAAGAGTTCGGTCCTTACACCTTTGTCCCGACGTATACCTCTCGTCACATCTGAAACAGAGTCCCTTTGCACTCTTCTTCTATAATTCTGTCTCTGTGAGCTTTTTGAAGCTGTCCCCAGGCCTTCCTCCTACAGTCTTTTCCTTTGAAGTCCCCTGAAAAGTCTCCGGTGTTGGCTCCTTGGATTTTAATAAGGTGGTAGTCATCCTGTACGGGCCTCCTGAGCTGCTGCCTCCTGTCTCTTCCTCTAGGTGCCTCTGTTCTTCTACCAATTGAGCTAGCTCCATAGTCTCTCCCAAGTCACGAGGCCTCATTACTCTAACCGCTGCTCGAATCTTTGGTGTTAATCTCTTCATGAATTCTTCCTCTAGCACTATCTCAGAAAGGCGGTCCAATCGACTAGCAAGGTACTCGAATCTCTCCAAGTACTCCATCACTGAACCCTCCTGTGTCAAGGCGAAGAACTGCTCGTAGAAATCTCCTCTCCTGCCAGTTCAGAAACGTTCTACCAAATAATTCTTGAACTCTCTCCAACTCCGTATGGGTCGTCACATGTCCCTCCACTGATACCAAGACAAAGCCTTCCCTTCTAAACATAGGCTCGCCGCCGTCAATCTCTCCTCTGCCAGCCCATTGACGGCGAAATATCTTTCTACTTTATAGATCCACTCATGCGCATCCTCCCCCTCAAAGATTGGCATCTTCAATTTCCTCACCCTCGGGTCACACCCATTTCCCCTAAATCATCCATAACCTCTCATTCCTCAAAGCGGAGGTGCTCCCTAATTGTCACGATCTTCCCTCTGACGATCATACCCAAACCATTTATCAAAATTCCCTCTTATTCTTTCAAAATTAGCACCCCAGCGATCGAAATCATCCACTGTCCTTACAAATTCAGCACCCATTCTTGCATAGCCAAATGCTCATCTCCTCCCTAAAAAGTGGTTCTAGAGGAAGCATTCCGTTTTCTCCCTCCAGGATCTTCACTTCTGGCTTTTCCCTTCCCCTAGACGTGTTAGGGTTCCCATCTCTTCCATGGTCGCCGATAGTTTCATTTACTTTCGATGTCACCGGTTTGGTTTTACCTTCAAGCAATTTCTTCAACATGTCTTTCACCACGACGAACTTCTCCTCCATTTTTCCTCAAAATCTATTTTGAGTTGCCCAAGTTCTCCCTCCTAAACTTTCACTTTCCTTCTGGCCATTGGTTCCCCTTCGATCGACGTGCTCTGATACCAATTTAATAGGAAGCACTTGTAGATCTCAAGTATTTTCTATCTATCTTCAGAAAACAACGAGCTTTCTCTACCAAAATCCACAAAAATAGTAGATAATTTGTATTATTTGATGAAAGGGAAACGAAAAATAGCAAGATACAATTGATCTTCTATTCGAGAGGAGGATCGATCTCTCCCAAACCTCTAGACGCCGCTAGAGCTCAAAAGAAAACCTAACTCTAAGAGATCAAATTTCATCCAAATTCAAGATGCCCTAACCCTATGAAAACAAAGTATTTAATGCATACAAATCAAAAGGAAATCCCTAAACAGTCCACACATTCAAATTTTTCTCCCAAATCCCTAAAAAATCCTTCCTAAATAAACTGGTTGGCGCTTGCGATGCAGTCGCTTACCGAAAGAGGCGGGCATTCTGCCTCAGTTTCTCATGGTCCAGTCCCGTGTCGATCGGCTGGACCGGTCTTACACAATTTTGCTCGGATTGAAAGTTAAAAATCAGCAAAGTTTTATAAAGGTTAATTATTTAATAACCCTTTTATGTTTTCATGAAATAAAACATGTAAAGGGGCAATTTGGGCTTTTGGAAAATCCCTAACTGCCTAAGGAGTTAAAGGGATCGAATCCTTTCAGTCCCTACTCATTCCATTCGGTCGAACGTGACAGATGGAGAAAAGGGGGGGGGGGAGCGGTAAGGCTCCAAGGTAGAGGCTAGGGAGATTTTCTAGCGACTTTCTTTAGGGCAAATTGAAGAGGGAGACCTAGGGAAGAAAGAGGTGAGTTTCTAAACTTAGATTTTCTTGTTTTTACTTGGATTTCATGAGGTGAAAATTGCAAAAGATTTATTGAGGGGTTTTCACAGATTGCTATGCCATTAACCAGTTTGACTCAAAAGGCAGTTAAATTCGAATGGACAGCTCAGTGTGAAGAAGCTTTTCAAAGATTGAAGCAGTGTTTAATCACAACTCCAGTACTAACTATTCCTTCAGGATCATATGGATTTCAACTTTATAATGATGCTTTATATAAAGGGTTGGGATGTGTATTGATGCAGAATGGAAGAGCCATTGCCCACGCCTCTAGACAACTAAAAAATCATGAAAGGAATTATCCAACTTATGATTTGGAATTAGCCGCTGC